TGTAAAGCCAGCTAAGCATGAGCAGCTGAAGCCACCATAAACCTTGACAAGTAGCACCATTTTCACATGGACTTGAACTGCAATAATCAACAATCATATCACATGTATCACCAGTATATCCCCGTCTGCAGACACATGAATGTGTAATAGATGTTTGCTGTATGCAATCACCGTTATCACCACACGGTTTCTCTACACAACTGCCCACTATTTCACAATGTTCTCCTGAAATTTCGGAATTGATTACCAATAAATACCTCATAAAGTCTTGTAACTCATACATTCCACGCTTATACACTGTCGAGACATATGACAATAAAAATCTTCGTACCTCCAGTGATCTAAGGAAGAATTGCTAATGAAAGGAGTTCGCTATAAGTAGTTTCCGAATAGTAATTCAGCTTAAGAGCTTGAATGGTAGAAATGATTCCGAAACCGATAGATGTAATTAGACAGGATTTCAGAAGAAGTATAATAAGAAATAACCTAAATGATAGCTGTCACAGCTACAACGATATGATCCAGGTGTATTGGTGCAGTTGCCATCATGTTCACAAGGAAATCGCATACATTCGTTGATATCAATATCGCAGTGTTCACCGTTCCAACCCGGTTCACAATTACATAAGAAGTTGTCAGTTACCGTTCTACACTGCCCATGTGCACAGGGTGACGTGCTACAGTAATCCCTCATTTCATCACAAATTCGACCTGCAAATGCAGATAGATGATGAAATTGGAAAGACAGCATAAAAATTATGAATTGCATGTTACACTGTATAAGTGTATCGATATTATTTTATAAACAAAACACTGATCTTATCAGTTTAAGATATGCAACGGAATTAGACTTTACTAGCCTAATATTGTACTGCATCAGAGCATTTTATGCGCAACGATTCTTAAGCTGTATATATTTGCTAATGCCATTAAATAACTTTAATTAGCAAAGAGAATGATTCCTTTGGAAACGGTTCAAAGGGATAACATGCTATTGAAAGATTTGTGAATCTTTTTAGTCATTTTAGTTCCTTATTCCACTATACCCTGTCCTGTGTCTTTTTCTTGCGAGTGGAAAGTTCCGAAGAGCAAAAAGAGAGCTGGATTAGCTCGGTGACGGCTTTTAATACTGATAAATAAATGAGACCACATTAAAAGCATAAGACCATGTCGGATAAGCATAATTTTCATAATATTTTCTTTGTGTAGTTATTTTATAACACATTTAAAAGTGAAACAGTTTAAGATAAAGTGAATACCCTCATAACCATTGGCACATATGCATTCAAAATCACCATCTTTTGACAAGCATATCGCTCCATTTTTGCATGGATTTGACTGACAAATATCCTTTTGTACATCGCAAAGCATACCACCAAAACCTAGTGGACAGTCACATTTGAATGTATCCTAAAATATAAAGTACAGGTGAAATATTCTACCTGTTTGAAGAAAATCCTAGTTGGACTTATTTGTACTTCCACAATTGGGATATTAGAAAACTATTTGATGAAAATTCTGCAGCATTCATAATAAAATAACGACTGCTTTCATGAAATTAGTTCAGTTATGTTTATTATTTTCGACCTTTTCCTGGATTGACTTCTACCTCTTAAATGAGATTCATCGTCTTCCCTATTTCTCGCTGCTTTATAACTATTAATTTACTCTTATTTTTTTAAATAAAGAAGAATGGTACTTACCTTAATTACCGTACAGTTCGCTCCATTTTCACATGGCGAAGGAAAACATTTTGATGATTTCTAAAAAAGATATTGCGTTAAGGAATAGATGTGATGTTTTAACCATTATATTAGTATGTCGTTACCCGTCATAGCTTCAATTCTATGTCATCTATTCAGTTCAGAAGTCCTACTCACTTCATTCATTTGTTATAAAATGCATCTGAAATTCTTACATGTGCTTGACAGCGTGATCCGACAAAGTGAATTGGACAGTCACAATTATATTTGCCATTTGCCGTTGTACAGTTTCCACCATTCAAGCATGGTGATAACTTACATAAATTCATTTCTTCATCGCAAAATTGTCCACCGTACCCAGGCAAACACACACAGCTGCAACGAGTTATTAAAAAAGTTCGTTAAACCGGGAAATACAGTAATAATTTTCTAATTTCTAAATTACATTTCTTATCCTATTATACTATGGTTTTGCGAAAGCATTTGACCGATATATTTTTTTCTTAAGTTACTAAGACAATAATTAAGAAAAGTACTGAAATTGACCTATATTCGTCGACACCATTAATGCATGCGCCAAATTTACAATTATGATTCTCACATCTATTAATTCGTGCCTGCAAAAAATGGGAAGATATTTATTTATGTTAGAACATTTCTAACAAGCAACTATTTTTTAAAAAATTTGTAGCAAATACCAATTACAAATTTGAAATTAATTATGTGCATAAGATGTATTCCAGAAGTACCGGTTGTGGTCAGAAAAGATCCAGTATTACAAGTTCAAATAAGTTTACAACCTCACAAAAAGTCCCAGTAAAACCAGGTCGACATTGGCACACTCGTTTGTTCCATAAATCAAGACAAACTGCATCATTTTTGCATGGATTTATCAAACCGCAGAGATCGTCAGCGTAGCAACGATTATCTATGATATTTCGACGCTTAATTAGCTTGAAATGTGTGGTATTTTCCAACAAACCACCAGCTTGATTACCAATAAAAAAGAAATCGGCGGAGCCATTCCAATCTGTAGATTTTCTAGGCAACCCTGAAACAAAACTTATTATTTGGAAAAACTCTCTGTATCAGATAAATATTTATTTTGTGAAGAAAATAACCGACTGACTTAATGCAAAGATCCAGTTCAATCATCAACAGTTATCGATTCATTTCACAGCTTACTGCAGTACAAACAAATAACTTTTCATATATAGCAAATCATGATGAAATATTAAAATCTAACATCATAACATTTCTTTCGGGACGATAGATAATCCGTGTTCAATGTAGTACAAAAGAAGGGATTAACTTAATAAGTGATAACAATTAATGTGGATAATTACCAGATGAAATTTAATTTTTTTAAAGGTTGCCATAACGTATTTTAGCTTCATTCCCGGAAATTCGATTTATAAACAAAACAATTATGGAGAAAAAAAACTCTACAAATACATACTCTGGAAAATTTACTTACATCAAATGATGATATTTTATCACTTCGTTGTCCAATTATCAAGGTGAAATTATCGATGAGATTAAAAATATTGATCGGTAGAGAAAATGATAAATTCACGGCACTGAGTTTGCCATCGATATGTAGACCGTTTCGGTTGATATCGATACTTCGCACTATGCCATCATTTACTACCAGATTTGTCTTTTGCTTTCTCATATCACCATTTATCAATGCCTCATAGATGAGTAAACCATCTTCCAGCGAAGTGGATAGGAAAGAAGTTGGAGTTTTCTGAAAAATAAATATCTGCTTGGGGTTATGAGCTACAAAACCACATGCACAACAGGAATGATAAAAAATGTTCTTCCATGTTTGCAAAACGCCATTACGAAATTAAAATAAAGCTTACCAAATAAATAATTTGACCTGATAATGAACGAGTTCGTAACATGAAGCTTATCTGTAAAGGGTTCAAAATATCCATCATAGCGTCACCATCTTCCAATTTAAATTTTGCGAACGACGTTGACACAAATGTTGCTGGTGAACTGCCTGTCAACAATTATCACATCACTATGATATACTACAATCATTTTTATACGATTCATTTTGCCTTTCCCTTTTCATCTTCACCTCCTCTTCATTCCTCCTCCGTTTCCCTGTCACTTACGATCGTTAACGGCGATAATGGTCCAATCCATCTACCCCTCAATGTATATTCAAATTGAATGGAAATTATTTCTTGTCCTAATATGATTTAAAATCAATCCGTTGTTCAACATTATTAGCATATTATCATTTTGATGATTGCTATTTCTCTCATACCACTATTGCTATCATTATTGTTATTATC